GCCGTGAGACGGCCTGGTGGCAGACGGTGTTCTTCCTGCAAACCACGTTCTCTCTCGCAGGGTGAGTGGAATTCGGGTCGCCCGCATGCACAAGGCTGCGCGGGCGCGCTACTTGTTGGTATCTGCGTACCGCTCTCATATAGGCTCGAGAGCGGTAGTTGTCGGACTCATCGCGCTGCATACGTCGACGCTGTGCCGACCGAACTGTTTCCTCGCCAGTCACGGCTGCTTCCATTGGCTCGTTCAGGAGCCCCCAAAGCACAACCCCAGACAGGACTTGCGGGGAACCAGTAATAGTCATCATCGCCACTTGCACACTGCCGAGGTGCCTGCGGCAAGTCCGCCACCGTGCCAGCGAAGCCTTCAGTGTGGCGACCCTTCCGAGCACCACCCAGAAAAAGCCGTCGCATGTGACGCCTCTCCGCCCCCGCTGCGTGAGGAGCCCTCGTGGGGACTGCGTCGGCCGCGTCGGGCTCGTGTGGGGCAGCCTTGGGGATCTGTGGAGTCTCTGTTAGGCCATCTTTTGGTGGTTTTCTTTGGCCGTCTGTCTAGGCCTCCTAGATGGGGTCGGAGTAGATGGGGTCGGAGTATCGCGCCGCATCACCGATGTATCGCCGATGCGGCTCGATGTAGGGCCCGATTTGCTTCACGTCGATGGCGCCGATGCATCGCCCACGTCGACGATGCATCGCCGGTGCATCGCCGATGCATCGCCAATGCATCGCCGATGCATCGCCGATGTATCGGCGATGCGGCGAGATCCTTCGACCCCATCCATCTACTCGGACCCCATCTAGGAGGCTCCTAGTCTGAGAGTCTCTCGGGACAGCCGTGGGGCCGGATGGGGGTTCTCTGAGGGGGAGGTGGAGGAGGCGGAGGAGGAGGAGGAGGAGGAGGAGGAAGAGGAGAAGGAGGAGGAGGAGACGGGATGCGGGATGCGGGAGGACGGAGGAGGGAGGAGGGAGGAGGTCGTCGAGGCCGTCCAGGGTCCTTCTTGAGGTCATCCCGGGCCAGCTCGAGGCTCGCTTGGGGCCCCCTCCTGGGCCAGCCAGAGAGCTTCAGGGAGCCGAGAGGGTCCTCAATTCGACAGGCGTCGGGCCTCCCAGGGATCCTCCTCCTGCTCCCTCCTCCTGCTCCTCCTCCTCCTCCTCCCTCCTCCTCCTCCTCGCTCCTCCTCCTCCCTCCTCCTCTCCTCCTCCTCCTTCCTCCTCCTCCTCCTCCTCCTCCGTCCTCCTCCTCCTCCTCCTCCTCCTCCTCCTCCTCCTCCTCCTCCTCCCCCTTCCCCTCCCCCTCCTCCTCGAGGAGAATACACAGGGGCGAGGGAGGACGAGGGTACAGCGGTGGCGAGGGAGGGCGAGGTGCACGCAGGTGGACGTGGCGGTGGGGGGGTCCCTGCAGTGGAGGTCCATGCCAAGAAGCACCCTGCTTGCCTCCAGGGTGCCCTGGGCGCTCTGGGTTTCGACGGTTTTGCGATGGGGAGCGCGATGCTCCCACACCAGAAATCAATGGACGTCCTGGTGTCTCAGGGTTGGTTTCCTTCTGGTAAGTTTCTGGTGGACTGGCCTCCACTGTATGGGGGGTCCCTGCAGAAGTTGAGCACGACCCTTTTTTAGACATCCCTTGGCATTCCTTCCTTCTGCTACGCCTCACCGTGCCAGGGGGCACGGTGGCGGATGCTCGCATAGTTGATCACCGTCTTGCCCAAGGTGTTCGACTCCCTCTTCCCGGAGCAGCCGCCCCCCGTGCGACACGCAGCGTGTTCCCGGCTCTGGCCAGACAGAGGTATAAGATCGAGGTCGGTTCGGGGAGGGTTCCCTATTCGCGTGTGGTAGATGTGATTGTGCATGCTGGGGGAGGTTACCCTCGAATGCTCTTCATTTTGGCCAGCGGAGGGTCTCATGTTCTTGAAGGGTGATCTTCTGTCCGAGGTCCAACTGTAACGCACCACTCCCCGTGCACCCCCACATCCCGATCTTCATTGTGCTCTTCAATTCTTGGGCCTCTGGGCGGTCCCCGGGGGCCTCTTGGAGCGTCTTGGGGGCCTCGATGAGCCTCTTGGGGCCTCTTGGGGGTCTCTTGGGAGCCTCTTGGAGGCCCCTTGGGCGCTTATTGGGGCCTCCTGGGCGCCTCTTGGGGCCCTCTTGAGGCGATCTCGGGAGCCTCGGGAGCGCTCTTGTGGCCAACTTGGAGGGGATCGATCAGATCAGATGGGAGCTTCAATTACGTCCCGCCCTCGGGAGCCCTAAACATCGCCTCTTGGGCCCCTCCTGGGGCGCTCTTGAGCGCTCTTTGGGCCGTCTTGGGGCTCTCTCGGGCCTCTCTTGGGGCCCTCGGGGGCTCTCTTGGAGCTGTCTTGAGGCCTCGGAAGTCCATCGGAAGCGAAAAGGCGAGAAGGCAAGACTTCACGTAGGTTTTTGAATGATTTTGGCCCCTTGGCGACCTCGGGAGGCTCCGTGGCCACTCGGAGCCGTCTTCGAGCAGTCCCGGGGCCTCTTGGAGCATCTTGCGAGCCACATTGAGCCATTTTGGGTTATTTTGAGCAATCTTGGAAGTCATCTGGTTCTCTGAGGCCCTCTTGGAGCCATCTTGGGCCATCTTGGGTGATCTGACCGTTCGCGGGGCGCCCCGCCCAGGTCCAGGGGATGGGGGTAGGGGGAGGGGTCAAGTTACCCCCTCCCCGCCCGCAAGCCGTCTCGCTCACTCCCACCCGCCCTCCCAACACATACGTAGCACCCGAGTCTGGCCCGAGCCTCAGCATATTCCGCAGTCGTCTTGGGATGGGCAGCTACTGGGGGCCAATCCGCCGCCGCCGCCGCCGCCGCCGCCGCCGCCCGCCGCCGCCGCCGCCGCCGCCGCCCCGCCGCCGCCGGCCGCCGCCGCGACCCGCCGCCGCCGCCTGTCGCCGCCGCCGCCGCCGCCCAACCCGCCGACCGCCGCACGCCTGCATCCGCCGCGCCGCCGCCCGCCGCCGCCCCCGCCCCCGCCGCCGCCGCGCGCCGCCAAGCGCCCCCCGCTGCAATCGCAACCGCCCGAGCCGCTGCGCTGCCCGCCAACCACCCCGCGCCGCCGGGGCCGCGCCGCGCCGCCGCAGCCGCCGCCGCCGCCCCCGCCGCCGCCGCCGCCGCCGCCGCCGCAGCCGCCGCAGCCGCCGCCACCGCCGCCGCAGCCGCCGCAGCCGCCGCCGCCAAGTGTATTCTGTAGTGTGTTTTGACAGGGATGGTGGGGGGGGGCGCATCGGGTGGGCTGCGCATGTTCCGAATTTGGAGGCAGAGTGTGTTTTGTATTGTTATTTTTACAAGGGATGGTGGGGGGGTGTCGGCATGGACCCTGGTTGGCCCCCAGTCGCCTGGGGGAGGGGGTGTTTATTAATAGGGAACAGTGATCAAGACACCCCTTAGATGGCAAGCCTTCCAGCTCACTCCCACCCGCCCTCCCAACACATAAGTAACACCCGAGCCTCAGCATGTTCATCGTCTTTGGATGGGCAGCTACTGGGAACCGAAACCGGTCCCATTTGCGCGACGCTGGGACCCGAGCGTGCCAAGCACGTCTGGTGCGCCAGATGCGCCACGTGCTCCACGGAGGTGCGCCACGCGTGCCAGGCGCGCCACGCGCGCCAGGCACCCTGGGGCCCGAGCGTGCCAGGCACGCCTGGTACGCCAGATGCGCCACGTGCTCCGCGTGCGCCAGGTGTGCTGCATACCCCAGCCGCGCCAGGTGCCCCACGTTCGGGGCACGCGCAGAATGTGCCAGGCGCGCCACGCGCGCCAGGCTCCCTGGGGCCCGAGCGTGCCATGCACGCCTGGTACGCCAGATGCGCCACGTGCTCCGCGTACGCCAGGTGTGCTGCATACTCCAGCCGCGCGAGGTGCCCCACGTTCGGGGCACGTGCAGAGTGTGTCAGGTGCGCCTGCGCACGTGACAGCACGCATCGGGAAACATGTCGGCCCCCGCCATCCTTGTCGAAAGCCAATGCCCATCATTGTGTCTGGTGGGCATGCCGCGCATGCGCACAGCAGGCACTACGGCACCACCCCCGCCGTCCTTCTCAAAAACCACTTGCCAGTGATCGCGGGGTGTCCACGCACGATCTAGATTTAGCCGCGAGGTGCATGTTGTATTGTTTTTGTTAGGGATGGTAACCTTGCGCGCGCACAGCAGGCAATATGCTGACACCCCGGCCGTCCCTGTCAAAATGAATACAAAGTTCTGACGGGCCTCACGGACATGACTTGTGTGCTTTGTATGGTTTTGTTGACAGGGATGGTGGGGGGTGGCGCATCGGCTTGGCCGCGCATGCTTCACATGTTGAGGCAGAGTGCTTTTTTTTTGTATTGCTCTGGTGACGGATGGTGATGTGTGTGTGGGCATGGGGTCCTCATGGTTCTTGGTTGATTGCCAGTCACTTGGGGAGAAAGTGTATATTAATAGGGAACAGTGATAAACCCTCCCCCGAAGGGAAAGAATGGGGGTTGGAAGAGTAGCCTCTACAGACCACCTACGCCCGGAGTGCTGGTGGGAGTTGCCGATGCTTGCCGATCCTACGATCAAGTTTGGAATTGGTGGGCTCAGCTAATACAAGATAATGTTCGGGTTCAGCGTCAGTCGACAAAACGGTGCCGCATCTTCAGATTCCCAAATATGTCGTCTTTGAATGTCAGTAAAACCAACACCGATTCCAAGCTTAGGCCCGCTTCAAGGTCTTCCGAACGAATAGTCTTGCAGACGTCGAGCTGAATTACCAAGTGCACCAGACCGTAGAAGTAATCATGACTATGTGCCTGCCGAAATGCATACGTGTACGACGTCATGACTTGGTCTCGACGCGGTATCCAGCTATGCTCAAGCTGACGCCAGTCTGGCGTAAGCCAAACATACCGCGTCCATGGACATTGGGTCTCTAGTAGGGGTTATCCCGGCCCGATGAGGGCCACATGAAGTGACACGCACAGTCTTGTTGTGTTCCTTGGCTCGTTGCCCGTGGTGCTTAGTTTACGTAC